CAGGCACCTACTAGTTTACGTTACAGTTGCTACGTTATTCTTTGTTTGAAAAAAAAAAAACTTATTAAGCTCTATCATTTTCCCATTGGATAGAATTGGGCAAGTTGCAATGCATAAAAAAAAAATCTTGAGAAATATTTGGAAAAACAAATTACAAATTACAATAATTTTGCAAATTATCAATGTTATGTTCTAATTAGTCCTCTGCAATCAACATATAAAAGTAAAAAGAATAAGTTAGATGAAGGAAGGCCTACAAAAATGTGAAATTTTTCAAAGAGCAAAATGAAAAACAGGAGTATAAGTGCTTTTATAGGAACTTACTCAACGGAAATTCCTCCTCAGGCGAGTAGTCTTCAATGCGATCATTACCCAGACTTTGTCACAGGCACTTTCTATAAACTTAAAGTATGCATAGCGCCATGACTTCTTGAAGAGAAGGATTCCCAGAAGTCCCAAGAGCCCGACAGCAAAACCCGATCCCATTCCAGCATAAAACCAAGACCAATCAGATTCGATGTGGCCTTCATCATCATCAATAGGCCTATTTTTGGTAGGCAATTTGTGTTCCGAGCAGTTGTTTGGGAGCGTGTTGCCACAAAGTCCACTGTTTCCTTCATAGATGGATGGATCGGTCAAGGTCTGAAGCTGATTTCCGGATGGTATTGGCCCTGAAAGTTTATTGTGTGACAAATTCAGAGAGTTCAATGAGTACAAATCAGATAAGCTTTCAGGGATTGCACCGAAGAGTGCATTCATTGATAGATCAAGTGTTTCAAGTTGCCAATCTTGTCGGGGATCCTTCCAGTCAAATGATTCTGTGAAAGATTCAAAACATGCAATTGAACCAGCTCCATTATCCCATCAGGGATCTCGCCAACTAAATTATTTGCTGAGAGGCTTACAGATTTAACAAACCGAATGCTTTTTGGTGAATACTCAACTTCTCTTCCTCCCTTAATGTCTTGAAGGCTTACTTGTGCATAAATGCCGTAACGAATGTCAAATGCTGATACCATTAAGGCAGCAATGTTGTTAAAGCAGTGAGGAATAAATCCACTCAAGTTCAGCATTGTCAGCGGCGACCACCGGTTGTCGAACTATCGCTCGATCATGAGCCTACACCCCAATGGCGGCGATGAGACGGTGGTTGTGGAGACTTACGTGATTGATGCGGCCGAGGCGAACACGAAAGAAGAGACGTGTGCCTTTGTGGATACGATCGTGAAAGTGAACTTGAGGACCCTTTCCAGAGTTGCTGAGGATTTGGCGGGCAAAGCGCAACAACAGGTTTGAAATTTTCAATTTCTTTCACTGGTTTATTTGTTTAGTAGCTAGGAACAGAATTAGAAATTTCAAAAAATAATGAAAAAACAAAAAAGACAAAAAAATTTAAAAATTTAAAAAAAAAGATTTTGGTTTCCTCTTTTTTTTTCTTTTTTATTTGCTAAAAAACATTGAAAAAATTTAAAAAAAAAAAGCAAAAAAGATTTTGGCTTCTTTTTTTCTTTTACTTTTCTTTGGTAGGAAAAGAATTTTAAAAAAAATTTGAAAAATCAAAAAAGTGAAAAAAGATTTTCGTTTCTTTTTTTTCTTTTTTATTTGCAAGCAAAGAACGAAAAACATTGACAAAAACAAAGAAGACCAAAAAGCACAAAAATATTTTGGCTTCTTTTTTTTGTTTACTTTTTTTAGTAGAAAAAGCATTTAAAAAAAAATGAAAAAGGATTTTGGTTTCCTTTTTACTTTTTTATTTGCAAGTAAAGAACGAAAAATTGAAAAAACAAAAAATACAAAAAAAACACAAAAGGATTTTGGTTTCTTTATTCCTTTACTTTTTTATTAGTAGGGAAAGAATTTTTTTTAAAAATATGAAAAAAAGGCATTGAATGACTTTTTTTCCCAAAAATAGAAAATTCGCTTAGCTCTACCTAACACGTAGCTATCAACTATGCATGAGGTGTTATTGTTTTCAAAAAAAAAAGGGTAATGCATAATTTTAAATCTGCCACTTTAATGTCTCATAAATACTCTACGATCAATAATTAAATTTCTGTCCTTTTGTTAATTAAACAGCACTTGATTCTTTTTTGCCCTATTTAGCCTGCCTATAAATGCTATCTTCTTAACTTTTTAACTGTTTGTGAACATTTTAATAGCTACTGATGATCACTTGAGTTCCTATTAGTGTGTTTAAGTGAGTTCCCTATAAATGTGCCTAAATACCAGAGGTGAAAATGATGGGTACTTCCACTTTTAGGCGTCAAAGTTAGCTATACTTGGGAATCTGTCTAAAGCTACTTCACACGCCTTTGCACGTATAACACCTAGCCCTGTAATTGTGTGATAATGCGACGGTGTAGCTTTTGATGTGAATGAAATACTAGTTGGCCTCTTTCCATTTCTACCTTGGCTTAGAAACTGAAAGAAGCATAAGTTAAAACTTGAAGTCTGCGGCTAGTGATTGGAGTTGACATCTTAATATACTTAATAAGTTGGTGAGGCGATAAAGCAATCAGGGGCAGGTTAGTGCCATGTATCTGTTGTGGTTCCCTGTTCGGTTGTTGCAGAGTAAGCCAAGTCGGGAGTCTCGCTATACCAAATAATAAGTGAGGGTGCAGTTGTGGTTCCCATGCCAAACATCTCCTGAGTGAGCCAGTTGAATTCTCAGGAGACCTAAAAATGAATAAGTGCAAAAAGAGCACAAAATAGCACCAAAAAAAAGGTGCTTCTGAAAAAAATTGGGATTGCAATTGCCACAAGAGGGACAGCTTTGTAGTCGAAAAACAAAATCTATTAACAAGCTACAGCCAAGTCCTTGCACTCACACAGCGAGGGACAATGGGGGGAACCCCACCGCAAGTGCAGGCCAACCACTGTCGTTACCATTGTTAATGCCCTAGTTCTGGTGAGCAATCCTAGATCTCACTTGGACCTTCGACTTTTAGGTATATTGACATTTTAAACCAAAAAACTTGGTTGCAGATGGAAAGTTAAGACGAGTCTTTTGGACGTTTTTAACCCAACTCCTGTGAGCACGCCATCTTTCTTTAATATAATTGTCATATGGGCCAATTAGTGCTGAATTCATATCAAATTGTTATGCTTGAACAAATTCCCTTTACTAGGCTAGACGACATTTCATCCCTCACACATGCTAAAGACTGGGAATTAACCAATTATTGCTATTTGATACAGCCTGCTCTACATGTTTTTGAGTGGGAGTATTCGTCAATTTTTCCTCGCATTCAATGGCATAGGGGGTATTCATTGTCCAAGGTGACTTGTCTATGATCGTGAAGAGATGGCTTATCATGCTTGGCACTAGAGACATGAAGTTTTTTAACTCCACCTGTGTTGACACAATACATCACACAGCCGGTCCCAAGTCCGGATGAAGGAGGAGGGATTTTTTTTATGTTTTAGAAGGCAGCTCTTAGCGTACGTTCTCAAAATCCTTCTGTGCAGATTTATATATGAAAGGTTGGTGAATGCGAGTTTTTTTTTTTCATTCTTCTTGGTAGTGCTGAATTTCTGGTCTTCATTTCATAGTTGATCTGGATTTTAGCATCTATCCCGGGTTATAATCCAATCACATTTCTTTCATTCTTTTACTTTGCTTTGTTTTGCAACCGCACTTTACTTTTTCAGAGTTTGTATACTTGTTCACATAAATTGTTGTGTGTTAGAGCTGCCAATGAACTGGTTTACTGTGAGTAATCAACATGCACTAGTACGTTTGGCATTGGAAATTGACAAGAACTTTTAAGCTGGTTCTCTTCTGTTCATTGAGTCACTTGAATTGTGTTGTAATATGTTCTTAAGCTCACTTGCTGTTGCAAAGGTAATGAACTTTGTTTTATCTCATGCTGATCTTTCATACATGTTTAGGTTATATCCGCAAAATATGATACCAAAAAAGGTTATGCTACTGATATTTCAGACACAAGTTGTACCATTTGGTATGGTCGAAATTTGACTGTAGAGTGGCTTTCATCTCTTGAATTTCTTTCCCAAATTCGTGTGCTATAGGTAGATTTGCAGCACCATTTTAGTCAGAACGGATGTTTAGAGCAAAGTGATGCTGATTACTTTCTAATTTTGCAATTCTTGGCAGGGATAATTCTATGGGATCAGTCTAATGCAATTTTGTATTGTTACAGTTTAATTAAATGATCAAGCTTTTATAGAACCTGTGGACTCACATATGGATTTGAAGTCCTATGTAGATTAGAAATTCTGTGAGTGGAAAGATGTCTTTCTGGCAATGTTATTGATTGTGGAATTTGTGGCAGGGTCTCCTGGCTGTTTGGTGATAGCCTGCAGACGCAATTCTTTGCTCTTCAATCAACAGTTCAAATTTTCCTCAATTATGATGGTTTTATGTGATTAAGGATGATAATGCAAACAGGATATGCGATGCAAGATCAAAACTCTCATTCAACTACTTGCAGAAGATTATATGTTTCTAGGCATTGTTTTGGTGCTTGACATGACCCACGAACTATATAGTATACTAGGCCGAATTCAAAGAGAGGAGTGTGATTTCTTAGAACTCTACCCAGATTCAGGAAAAGAAAATATTGTAAATCAGGTCGTAATGCTCAGTATTCCTTGACCAGTAAATAAACTGATTATTGTATACCAGCATTTTTATAGAGCTTAAGAAATTTTCAGAATTAACTTGACAGTTTACTGATTTGACATAGCCAAATTGCAGATTGAAGGGGGCAAGATTTTGTTGTTCAAACCTGCACTGAGAGTTTTCGTTCAGTCCAAAACTGAGCCCCTTTTTAATACTAGTACACACAAATTATGGCCATTTTCTAGCTCCAATAGTCCAAAAAAAGTTCATATGCCAATGTCACAAATCTCATGCATAAAATGCAGGTTTTAAAAGAACTATTTGACCAAATAAACTATTCAAATACTCGGAGCACTTGTAACAAACATGGGAATCATTACTCTAACAAAATGTTTAGTCTAGCTGCAATATTGGGCCAAACTATATATAAATATAACCAAACATTACAAGATTTTCCAATGACTACTTCTTTAATAACTTCTTGGAAGAAGAACAGTGAAGCCAATAGCTACTCCAAAGAGGAGGATGAGCAGGCCACTGAAGTTAACTATCAATGCTTCTTGCCCTCTTCTTAAGCCCGTGAAGATGTATTTCTCAATCAAGCCGGTCACAGCACTCAATATTGCCATGAAAAATATAACCATGCCAAGCAGGACATGCCATGGTGCAAAATTTGCTCAGAACCAAAAGGTAAAGAAGCCAAACAGCCACTGACCAAAGAAGTTCAGATTCTTCCATTAGATTCTGGCTCTAGTTGTTTTAATAAACTTGTTCTTATTTTTTCATGCATACGTTAATTTGCATTATCTGTACGAGCATATGTATAAACTAAAATACAATACTTAAACTATTACCAGGTTCTCCAAAGTCATTGGCTGCATCTTTCCTCTCCAAACTGTTGCCAAGTTCCTCCTCTGTACTTACAGATGTTCTCCTTTTCTTAGCTGACATATTCACATCCAAACATTCAGAACCTTCAGCATTTAGAATACTCAAAGATCTGACATATTGCAAAGCATATTTAATTGTACAACTGGTCAACATCTCACAGAACACAAACACGACAACTGGTCAACATCTCACAGAACACAAACACGACTTGAATTAACTTATTTCATTTTACATACACAACAAGGTATGTAAGAAAATGTACTGCAATTACAGGTAACAAGACACCAAGCTGATTTCTACACTTTACACCCCTTAGATGCAAGCAGGTTTCCCATTGAGAAGTTCAGATATATGAAATTGGATGAATCAATCAGATCATCTATGAAAAAGAAAATGATCTGAAAAAGAAAAGATGGTGAAGAAATATCATGCATGCTGATTCTGCACAAGTTCAATAGCATAAGTATATAAAAGCCATAGGCTATTGTCTTCAAGAATTACATTTCATTAAACTGCAATTTCTCTGCTAATAATCATATCAAACAATTATTCAGAATTGCTCCCAAACTCGAGTATTCTGCCCCTAGACCATCTGTTGTGCAATCAATTTCTGATTATCCTTGTGCTAATTGTCACTCTTTTAACCAAGATTTCATAAACTAACACAGCTATCAAGATAGAACCTGGTTAGCAAAAAAGTTGTACCAAGAAGCATTCATCTAAGGTCAAAAGTGCTAAAAGTCAATCAAATTTTGTAAAAAATTAATGAAAAGAAAAAGTAAGGAATGACAATAGATCGCCACCAGCAAGAAAACAGTTTCCATGAGAAAACTGTTTACATAGCATAGCCAGCAAGAAAAGATTATCTATATTTGACACATAATTCTCTTGTCTCCATAGGAGGATTCAGAGGGATTCTCATCTTTAAAAGTCAATAGTTCGATTGGTCGCAAATATTTCTGTTGTCATGGAATTCTTCAGGTTTCAATCAGCAATCAGGATATAAAAGTCTTCTATACTTGCAACTGATGGAAGTAGAAGAATACAGATAGTTATTGATGCATATGAAAATAACATGAGATTTGGAGAATATGCAAGGTTGTCCACTGTAGGAGTGATGTATCAGATCTCTATGTTGGCTGTTTGAAAAGGAGAACTGGTACAAAATAGTATCCCCATGGACGCAATGGTTTCTAAATTTCTTCCTCCCTACTCCTGTTCTAATTTTCTGCACCAATTGTATCCTAGAGCCCTATTTAGTGCACAAATTCAGCAACTCACTATTCCAACAACACAGAGCATGCTTCAAGCTTAAGACCCATGCCCAGATATCAAAGCACTTCACCAGCTTTTGAAATCCATTAGAAGTACACTAAAATAGCTTCTGACGTATACAGCCTGCTGATCAGTAAAAATGTCCTGGACTCTTTTAACTAATAGTCTTAAAAGCAGCAAACTCATTCATACAAAATTTGAACACAAGCTTTTAACACTGAATGTTATTTGACAGTGGGGAAGATAGGTTCAACTCTTAATATCTCATTGGTGTATATTCAAGGACAGGAAAAGAAAATAACCACATGCAATGGAAGATGAGAGTAAAAAGTCAGGAAGAAAGCCACATATGACACAAAGGTTTAGGACATCACTTCCAAGACAAGATGCATAAAAAATTCACCAATGAATAACTTAAATAACTCCTTCATGGATGGCCTAACAAACCTGGTTATGTGTACAATAGCACATGCAATATGTACCGGGCTTCAGCACAGCCCTGGGGACCAGAATATCTTATGACAGGAAGTTGAGGTGACGAATCCCAACATTTCAATTAAAAGCCCTTCCATCAAACTCAATGAATAAGCCTATGGTCTCAAACAACGGCCGAAGTGTCCTTCACTGTCAGTTTACCCAATACCCATAACACGTAAAATACCCTTAAGCTACTAAAGCACCATAAATTTTAAGTCTACTGAAATATGTAGAATTTAAATTTTTAATAAATACTCGAGATCCTAAAAAGATTACGCATTCTTCAAAGTGGGTAAATTGGATCTTCAGCCAAGTTCCCAAGAATATTAAAATTTACTCTTCTCTTAAACTCTTCATTGGTTGCATCAGTCGTGAATATTGATGGCATTCATAAAAAAAGAATGGAACACATAATGTATGTATCAATATATCAACATCAGTTTGAAGCCCTACGAAAACATTCAGCACACACAGCTTTTATAAAAACTCAGTGAAGTCAAAAGAATAGAATCTTGCAAGCACCAGATGCACACCTCCCCATTCTCCAAGTTGGTTCATTATTTGTCTTCCCTTTGCAACAAGAGAGTTCCAAGAAATAAAAATGATACAAGCTTTGGAGAGGACTTCAAATATAACTGAAAGTCATTCATTTCTTTCACATAGGGATGAGCCTCGGCAACACTTGGCTTCTGGTGTAAATATATCCAAAAACAATTCCAAACAAGTTGTCTGCCACAAGATTTTAAGCTAATTCTAAATTTTCCACTTATTATTTGGGCCCTAGAAGAGTGCAACATCTCATGCCTATACAAGTCCCTTTATGTATGAGTGAAAGACAATTATCTAAAGCTGCTCCAATGAAGAATGCCTTTTTAATGTTAAGAGCAAACTGAAGCTTGTATATCTATTTCTTGAGAACTCAAAATAGATGATTGACAATCAGCTATATATTTCATGCATATAATATCTGAGGTCTCAAATGCCTAACAAAATCGGACTAATGGTCTTCTCCTTCCAGAAATATGATCGCTTAAGACCCTGTCATTCTTTAGAGAAATAGAACGATACACTTATTAAATTGCTTTTATATTTAAAATTTTTTCTTATGGCAGAAAATATTGCATATCTTTGATCTATTGTTTCTGATTTATTTTCAAAGAAAACAATGCAAAGGTTCAGTATTAGTAAGGTGAATTTGTGCCTAACCTGTATGAGTTATGTGCTCAAGCTTAAGCTAAGGTTACTATGTATCCATAACCCTCTTCAAATTCAAGGAAATTGGTAACTCATATATATATATACTGGAAAGCTGTGAGTGATAAAGAATTTAACCAGTGATGCATTTTGGATGTCGAATCTTGTCATTTACTCAAGAAGGCACAGCAGAATTAAGCAGTCACTCAATTGAACCAAGTAACAAATGAAAGAGTGTAAGCAAAAAAAGTTGAATACGACTTGTAAACAAGGACTAAACCATACTAATATGTGACCTAAAACTGCACTGGCTACAAATAAATGGATGAAGAGGAAGATCATATGCAAAAAAATTTGAAACCAGCTACTAGACTCATATGTTAATAACCTACTGGCAGGATAATTGACATCTTATCCTTCTCTTTGTCTGCAAACGGAAATCTTAATCAAGTTTAGAACCCAAAAATCATAAACGTTTTTCCTAGACTAAGTTCAACAGATGCAAATAGTGTTGCGTGCATAATTTTGCCATTATTCTCGCAAATGAAGACCATTAGCATTACTCTTCATTTCCAAAAATTTATCATGTTTAAAACGGTAAACAACTTTGGTTTGTTTGTTTTTCCCCCCTTAATACCTAATGCATTTGAACAACACAACATGCCTGTGCCTATCTTCTGCATAGCTCACCCAGTTCTCCAAACCTCATCAGTTTTATCAATTAGTCGCCATCCCATTCGCTGTTTACTTATGCTTAATCATTCAAACATCTCTTTCATTAGAAACCAATTCCATAACAATGCTACTCTTCATCTTAAACCAAAACAATTACAGCAGCAAACACATTATACCAGTAATTCAAGTCCGCTATACCCTTGTTCACTTACAAATACCTCAAGTTCCCAACCTTGCCTAGAATTTAAGAATCCCATAAAACCAAGTTCACTAAACCAATTTAACCGTCCTGATTCGCAAGTCAGCATGAATTTTCTTTATATCTAAAATTTCCTTATTTTGAAATCATTCCAGAGAACTGACAAGAGACAAAACCAGCAGAATTCATTACTTTTTCAAGAATTGACATGGCTTCTTTTGTTGCACTCTTCTCCCTCTCTACATAACAAAGGAAGTATTTTTATCAATCACCACACTGCCCAGACTATCCCAAACAATCAAATTGAAAATTTTCAAAAACCCAGATGCAAATTACATAAATAAATGCCAATAAAGTACAAAAATAACAAAAAAAAAAGAACATAACTTTCTGGACAGAAGAGATGGGATGAGAGGCCTTACTGATGGGACAGGTGACGAGGAATCCGGAGTGGGAAAGACTGAGGAGAGAAGAAGGGGCGTTGTAGTCAAAACGAGGAATGGTGATGACAGCAGAGTGTTGCTCCCAGGGCTTCAGCTCCTCCTTGGTTTTCAGTCCCACTTTCATTGCTTCTTTTTCCAATACTTTTGCTCTTTCTTCTGTTTTTGCTGTCCCATGTTTCATTTCCAGTATTATTGAGTTAATGGATTGCAATTTGTTTGGCAGATGAGATTTATATTTATATTTCGCCCCCTCTTTTGTATGGCAAATGTGTTTTTTTACCCTAGTTCTTCCACTTTACTAATAAAATGTGATTTATTCTAAATGTTTTAGACCCTCTTTGATATCCCAATTCAGTATTTAAACTTAATGGATTTAGATTTGAATGTCTTCAGACGCATTGATAATAAAAAATAGAATGTCTAAATTAATTAAGTGACATTGAATTTCTTAGGCGAAACTTGCTCTCAAAATAAAATATTAAATATGAAGTTTGAATCCATTAAGTTATTAAATTGTTAAGTATTAAATGTGATACATCTGAGTGTATATCACATTAAGTAATAAATGAATAACTTATCACTTATTTTTTGGAACAAGTTTTGGCTAAAAATCGGTGTCATTTTATTTTTTGAAGCAAATTTTGGCTAAAATATTCAGTGTCATTTAATTAATTCAGATGTGTAATTTTTTGTTATCAAATGCGTTTAAATATGTTAATATCTGAATCCATTAACTTTAAATGTTGAATTGAGTTAAAACAGTGCTTAATACTTCACAATTCAACAACTTAACTTAATGGAATTCAAATTTTAAACTTCAATTTTCAAACTTTAATTTTATCAAACGCACCCTCCTATTACCCAAATTCTACCAAACAAATTTTTTCTACATATTACCACCCTCACAATTCACAAAGTCATTTTAATAATTGAATCTATTAACTGATGTCAGTCGGTTTGGATCATTTTGCGATATCAAAGGTGAAAAAAATCGCATGTGTGCACAAATAAAAAACCAAAAAAAGGTGTTGATTTTTCTTCTGGAAAAATGGAGAGTTGTAGTTGTAGTCTCCAATTTTTAACATACGCACTGAAATAATCTCTAATGTTTTGATCAAAATAAATTTGGTTCTCAAAGTTTTTGGTAGTAGGTACATTCAACAATGGCGAAAACTCAACAATGACTAACGGTAAAAATTTAATTACTGTTATTTAACAATTTTGACTTTGTACTTTTGGACCCTAATGTTTGAAATTTTAATCATTTTAGTTGCTTAAATTTTCAATAGTGATATCCAGGGTATTAGGATAAAACAAGATGCGAATTACAACAAAATTGTCTTAAATTGGTACTAGCAATTCTAATTAAACTTTTTTATTTTTACTGCATTTATTCATGCCACTAATGTCTCATATACTTCTTCCCTTTGGTATAATTGGTCACAAATTTGGTATTATATATGTGATTATTGATTTATACAAGTAGTAATTAACTGATAATTCACCCATAATGAGTAAAAGCACTTCATATTAGTTTTTATGTTTGCTAGTGTTTATCTTTACAATTCCTAACTATAACAATTTAAGGCCTATATGTACAAGTCATGCAAGAACTAGCAAAAAATGATAATAAATTTTATATTAATACTAGAATTTTCCTTTTTATTTTATATATTATGTGACGCCCCACTTCTCCCTAAGGCGAACCAAAGGGTATCCGCGGGACGCCTGCCTAGCTCTCGCCAGGACTCAAGCAATTCCATTCAAGCTTATTATCGATCTACACAACATACGAAAAACTTAAATACAGTAAATGCGGAAGCGTTCAAGCTTAACAATAGTTGTCCATTATCCAGCCCGCACGTCGAGTGTTCAAAGTACATCATAATTTCCAAATATACATCACGCCCCAAAAGTTACCTTCCAATTCCAAAAGTACAATCCAAAACCAAGGTATAGCCAAAACATAATATAAATCCTAGACAAAAGTACATCAGGAGGGTTTTTCCGAGTACACCTCCGAGTTCCACCTTGTTAAGGAAAACAAATCTACAGGGTGAGCAAAATGCTCGTGAGGCCAAGAACACACATGCATGCACATAGTTCAGGTAACAAGCCCAAGTAATGATTCAAGTAATAGCTTGCAAGTAATTAATAATGCCCACCAAAAATGTAACCAGAAACAATTCAAGGATATGGTAGCTCTCAGGAGCTAAGTTCCACTTGCTTTGCCCGTTCATTAGTATATCTTCCCGTGATGACTCTCCGTCAACCGGGTTGATATTTCCAAACCGTAGACCACCACTTACTTCTTATCCGTCCACCATACACCGCTTCAGACCCGCACGACATTTATGAGGCGATACTCCACGAGTATGCCAAGCAAGATCTCTCCAATAGATCAAGTTTATCATGTGAATCTCGTGGCTCACCGAGGTTCCCGACCGAACCCATGCCGGCTCGGGTTCCAAGGTCGGCCTATGAGTTTGGGCGTCCCCCATGTATCATGTAAGTGTCGAGGAGATTCACTCCATCGACGTATGCAATCATAGCATACCATGTCATGTATTCAAGCATTTGATAGGTTTAAACATGTATTTCAGGTCATGTAAATCAGGCAAACCATGTTAAATACGAGTCATTTGTTCCAAAGGAGAACGAGTGCGATAAAGTACACACTCGACTCCATTTTTCAAAATCAGGTAGGCTAAACATGTAATCAGGTAAACCAAGCACGGATCAAATCCATAGAGTTCAAATAGTCATACACTTGACACTCACCGAGTATTAAGTGCAAGTAGGGTTAAGGAAAGTTCAAGCGTCCACCGTAGGATCCTCTTGAAGGTCCTCGTGTGCGCCTGAGCAAATAATAATATATTATCATTCACATAACCCAATTATCGAGAAATAATTCATGCCCTATAACAATCTAGGAAATTTCGTGAAAAGGAACCTTAATTACTTGTAAATCGAGGTTCGAGTGGCGTTTCATAAAGTACAGGAGCATTTGGATTTTTATCTTGAAAATCGAGGTTAAAACGTTTGCATAATGTCGAAAGAATAAAGAGTTCTTGGAAAACTCTATTTCCTTGAAAGTTGGAAAATTTTCAGTTTTGATATGGATATTTGAAAAATCGTATCTCACTCGATACAAGTCTAAAATTGGAAAAATTTATACCGTTGGAAACCTCTTGGAAAGTACTAAAAGTTCTTCGAAAACACTTTTCCACGAATCTAAGTGGAAGGTATTCAAAAATGAGCTTAAAGTTGCTGTTCCAGAACACCCAGGATTGAGCCGGGGTTGGTTTTTCGCTAACTTTGGAAATTCGGTAGAATTCACTCGTTGCAAACCAGCCCTTGAAATTTATAACTCAATTAGAGGTGCAAGTAAGGTTTAGGACAGAACAAGCGGATCGAGACTCGGAGTTTCGAGCACCCAGATATGGTAGCTCAAATTTGAGAAAAATTCAAGACTGTTGAACAAATTTCCAGATTTGGGTTTTCGACTTTGGACCTTTAGTTAAGTGTCGAAACAGACTTGGATTGGTACCAAATTTTGCAGTAGAGTACTCCTATATGTAGGGTGTCTCTCTATCAAATTTCGTAGAAAAATACCTTCGGAAAGGTGGTTAACCAATCAACCGAAGTTTTGAATTTACTAAGGCAAAACTGCCTTCAACTCCATTTCTCTCCGTTTCCAAACATTCGGCTAAAGAAAACCTCCAAACATGGTTCATTTGTGCAAGAAATGTCTAAGGAACATACATAGTACATTTGGTAGGTGTTTAGCACCAAGAAATTCATTTAGTAAGACCACAACAAGTCTTACATCAAATCTGTCCAAATCCAAGGGTTTTCAAGAACAGGGCAGTCACCGTATTTTGATCATAACTCACTCAATTTAACTCGGAATTGAGCATGGTTGATAGTGTTGGAAAATACATTCATAGGGATATAATTTCACCGAAGAAATCTTTTTAAGTTTCAGAATGCAACTGGCTCAAAATTAAGCCTAAAGTTGCAGCATCATAAAATCATTTCAGCAGAACAGAGAAACAGGGTAGCCTTCTTAAAACTATTGGTTTGGCTCACACACTTGGAACCAAAACGTATATTTTATACTGTTGGAAAGGTGTGGATGTCTAGTTTTAAATGCCACTGACGGTACTCGATTTCGACGTCGGAGGACAAAGTTACGGCCGAAACACTATCACTGGACAGAGCTACACGGGAACAGTTTTCCAGCTAGACTAGTTTCACAAAGAAATTCATTTGCCCAACCAAACCTTAATATTTTCAAATGAAAATTTTTACACAACTAATACAACATATAAACATCATATTCAAGCCATTAGATCATAAAAAATTGGCCTTAAAATAACCGAACAGGGCAGGGGCAAAATCAGAAATTTCTATTCCATGAGTTCCTTGAGATTTCTGCTAATTATACTCCATTAATCCACCATTTCAAACACTAAACCAACATTATAAATAGCATCAATCACCATATCAGCCATCAAGACAGAGGTGGGAGTTCATAGAGCCCACCTTCCATTTTTTTTTTCAACAACAACAACAGCCCATAGGAAATTAAGAGCTAAAAGGTATACTAGAACTTCCAAAAACTGAAATTAGAAAGCTTGATCATGACTTGCTCTAGTTGATGAACAACTTAGAAATTTCGGTCCTTCCTTGCTCCTAAGTGAGCCGTGAAAAGTCCCCCCTTTTTAGCTAGATATGAACTCCAAGTCTTAGGCTAAGTAGTGTTAAAATTTGAGAGAATTTGGTAGAGATTTGAGTAAGATTTGTAGAGGGAAATGTTGAAGAGTTTTGGTTGTTTCTTTGCAGCTGCTAGCCGGCCATGGAAGCTTGGAGAAATGAGATGTTTGGTTTGACTCTTTGGCGTACAAAGAAAGCTTAACGTCTAATAGTTTAGGTGCGCAAAACTCAACCGCAAATAGTGCGCATACGCGCGCGTTTTGTGCTCGATTTCTCTTAAGTTTGTTGCACTAGTGCACTAAACCTCTAAGGCACTTACATTCATATAAATATTATTCATTCTTAATTTTCCCAAAATAATGGTCCAAAGTCCCTCAACTAAGCGTGCGCGTGAAAACGCGTATTTTTAATTTAGGCGCGATAAAATGAAACCTTCGAGAAATTCTTATAACGATC